AATTCAACACTTCAGTGTTTTGCTCATCACATGAAAATATAAAGAACATGCATATTTAAATACCTCAAAATTACTTACCAATTAGTCAGCCCGATGACCCTTCTACGCCGAAAAAGAATCAACTATAACCACTTTTGTAAACGATAATATAACTTACAATACCTGTGTTCACGTACATATTTCACAAGTAACAATTTTTTCTAAAGTCACTAAGAGTAAACAATTTCTTTTGAACGAACTCATGCCTTTAAAACTGGCATCACAAAGTGTTACTAACATGTCAAAATTTGTAATGTAATGTTGGGTAGTTACAAGTTATTTGCTCTATCCATAGACGTAATAAAAATACAGACAATAGCAGCAAGCGTTTGTCATTATGAATGACCCAATTGTAAAATTAGAACAACCAAAGTGCCTACCAGTTCTGTTGTTTTCATTTAAAATCAGAATCGTAAAACAACAATCCTATAAATCGATTGGTTAAAAAAAATCGATGTTTTCGGTCTTTATTTCATCCGAATGATATCTTTTAACACATTTGTTGTTTTTACGACATCGTGAAGACATTACAAAGGCCATTTTCTTATCTAATGTGCTCTTCGATTTTATTTCACATTTCCTCATCCTCGTAATATTTCGTAAATCATACGAAGTGTGACACACATTTTTAACAGAGAATAGCATCATTTTTTAAGGATACAAATAAATTGAATCTATTAGAGCGTTAAAACTACATTTAATTTATCTACCGTGGGTTTCTGAGAACAAAACCTCGATATGAAACATATCGTATTTGTTTGAAACGGGGATTTTGAACTCGAAAAGTCACGGCTAATCAAACAATAAGAATTTTTAAAAGTTTATCAAACTGAATATTATTAATCTACAAGATGAAAACAGTCTTATAATGTTAAAATATGTTAAAAATATGAACGTGTCTTAGCAACAATAAAAAAGCGTAATAAAAGTCTTGTGCGAATATAGACCAATATTTATTGAATAATATTAATAACTTCTACGAATAACTGGAGCAATATTGAACAATGCAAATATTATGATCTCGACGTCCTTCGCAATAAACAGTGAGAGCTGCTTTCGTCACAGTAGCTGCTAGTCACATTGTCAACCGAAACGAAACCTAAATTAATTACATTTTCTTCCAAAAACTTCTTGCAAAATGGGATAAGCTAAAAAAACACACGTAAGTTATACGTTGTGACGAGTGAAATTTGTCTACAGATAGGCAAGTTTCCATTGTTTAAAATTTTTCCAATAAATGTGAGTTCCCAGACACATGTAACGACAGAGTATTTTATAAGAAAAATGATAACCATAAACCATAACCATACCAACCAAAAACATCAACTTCTCAAAGTACACTGATTCTACGTTGTAAGAAAACCACTTAAACTTATGAAATAAATAACAAATTCAGTACCTTTTGATTTTCTTCTTCTGCAGCTTTATTAATTCTTTTCATTTCTTGTTTTAAATAAGAGTTGTCTTCGTAACATTTGTTAACCTCCCAAGTATTACCGTTAAATATAATTGGCAGTACATACGGATACCCTTAAATAATTAAAAAGTTAATTAGTAGCCTATGTGATCTTCCTGATTATGATCTACATCTATGCCAATTTCCACTAAGGTTCATTCATCTGTTTTGAGAGATACCCAATAACAAACATCTGTTCATCGATCCATCTAAACATTTATAATATAAGTAAGATTAATTCACATTTAGTCTTTTATTTTCACTAACATTTGATCTATTTTGCAGACTATTAACTTCATTTATTCTAAAGACTTTCTTAACTCGCTTATATGCTTTTAATTATAGTAGATAATTTTAACGTGTTAAAACGAATGAAACAATATCATAATATTTCGAAATAATACATTGTTTAACACTTCTTTACAAATCTGTTAAATCTGAGTTTTTCATATAACAGGTAAATCTGTGAAAAACCAATAAGACGAAAGTATATCGGCTTATACGTGCAGAAAAACACGTGAACGGTGTATGAAAAAAAATATTAAAGTAGCATGTTGCAGAGAAGGTGCGAATATTTTAGATAATATGATCCCCTTTATAGAACAGCTCTCGCACGAAATTAATTTCGAGAGATACTTTTACGATCGTGTATTTATAATACAAGCTATAGGAAAAATATTCTCAAGATTGTATGTTGTTTGTGAATAAATAATATAATCAAGCCAACTATGTGCATGATTTTTAATATCATGGAACTAATTCCTATTTTTAATGGAATATAAGACGGAATAAAAGATTGCGATTGGCGGTCATATTAGGAATGATGAGGTTTGCATTGTAATTTGAATATAGCTGTCGGAAATACGCTTGCTTAGGCCGGCTTATTACTCCACACTTCTATTACAAAAATCTATACAATTCAATTTATTATATTGACCATATAATTGGAAATAGATTAATGTATAATAAATCATATTTTATATTACCTTTCGCAGTGCCAATCGAGCCGTCACTAATGACGCCCATGTTGCTGCAAACTTTAGTCCCGCCGGTACGTGCTTTCCAGATTTGTTTCAAACTTTTGGCGAATTCAGCTGCCTTATAAATACATCCGTAAGGATTCCGTGCGGCATATGACGCCACCTTTTGAACGGTATTCAATTATAAAATAGTTAACTTCTCGATTTAACACTAGTTAATTTTTCGTTAAAAACTTATCAACATTACACTTTCTTTTTTTGTTACGAAATTGAGCCAATGAATTTTATCAAACATCAAACGCATTGTACAAATACTTACTTTATCGCTCTGAAAAAATCTAATGAGTCTCCCTACTTACAGACAATCACAACTTCACAAAATTTTGGTACGAATTAAACGCATTACATCGTATGAGACATCAGAGCTCATCTCTTATCTCCTAGGACCATAGTATAAGAGGGTTCCCCATACTAAACCTTGTATAGGAAATAGTAAATTTCCTTTGTCTTACAATTTTGAAATAAACCTTAATGTCACCAGGCAGGTAATAAAATGGTATATTATAATAAACCTTTTCAATAAATTCTTTTCTCATCCATGTAGAATTGAACTGAGTATAGTCCAATTTCGATGATTGCAACGTCGCTTTGCTTATAATCTTTCGATCGCACTGCGTATTCGATCCGTCACCAACGGAGTCTGTTATTATAATAGGTTTTTCCACTTCGACGTGAAACACTCTATCATTCGCAGCCCAGACTCGAACCTCATTAATTTGATTGAATCGCACCTTCATTGTTTGAGAAATATTTTTGTTAGATAATAAAATAAATAAAGAAATAATGTTATTTAAATGTTATAAATTAATCATCGAGATACTTGAAACAAATGTTATTTTTATTTACGAATATATAAAATACAAGCTGTCGCCCGCGACTCCGTCCACTCGGAATTAATAAAACTTAATAAGCAGCCGATGTTATCTTCCAGACTATGCTCTACATCTGTGCCAAATGTCACCAATTAACATCCATAAATCTATCCATACAAACATTCGCATTTATAATTAAGTAGTAAGAAATATGATTAGTAAGATTTAAAATGCATTTTAATATTTATACCCATGAATTTTGTAATATTACAAAATTAAACTTGAAGGAGTGAAGATATATGATTTTAATTTTAAAATAATACTAACATTCAAATGATCTCCCAGAACAGATTTCGCAATAACCTCAATCGGCGAGAGACAGAAAAACAAGTCCTTAGGCAAATTCTTGGATAAAGAGAAAAGAATATTCATAGCCAACAAGCCATCGGTAACAAAAATCGGCTTCGTTTTATTTTTCTGACTATTCACTTCATCATCGTCATTCCACACTAAATGGTTAGCAAATTTAATTAACAGGTACATGGTATCAAACTGTGTTTCGTTTTCCATACCATCAATATCGAAATAGTTAGGATTTTCAAAATCAGACATAACACAAAATACATCGGCATCTTTTGGCCTGAAAGATTTGAAAAAATTAACGTTTGGTTTACATACATCATAAATAAAGTTATTTTTTATGAATTCTATTTAATACAGAGGCTTATAGGTTAATGACTACTATTTCTCTAGGACGAAAAATTTAAATTTTTACAGCTTCGCAGGCCCTACCAGCATAGCAGGCTCTAGCCCATAGCGACTACACGAATGGCCTGATGGACCGATGTCAAATTTAACACCATGATAACACGATCACAAATTGAAGTGCGTGCGGACAACCGTATTCAGTTTAATACCCCTTCCTACCCTTTTATGCGAAAAGTATGGAAAGGGGAATTGTCTCGGCGATTTACAGGAAAGAGGAATAACTTGATTCCGTCCTCCTCTGTCTAATTAAGTATAACAACGCATCAACAACTTGATGCAGATGTCTATGGGCAGCGGTCGCTTCGCATTTTAGCAAAATCAGGTGACCGCTTAAACGTTTCACAATACTATACTATAAATACCTGGGTAGGTTTGTGATGACTTGTATGGAATTAGTATTTGAAAAAGCGCATTTTTCTAATTCGCATTTTAAAGTTTCGGCTGGGGCAACTTTATCAGAATACACTAATAGTTGCAAATCTATAAAAACGTTATCACCGAACACTAAACCAGACATTATCTTGATTAAAAGTAATTGAGAACTCGGAACAAGGGGATTTACCATCAAAATTTTTATGTTTTTCCCTAAAGGTTCGCATTGGAAATTCATGACAATAATATGCTGATTATCGCTTGATCAAGTGGTAATCAGTCAAAATAATTAATAGTGGAATGTCATTGATTTTATAGATGTCAAAATATAAAATATTAATTTTGCTAAGGGTTTCCCGATTGCCTTTATAATTTGTTTTTTTTTTTAGATAATTGATGTACAATTTTTGTATAAAAATCGATCGCAATTAAAAATAAATCATTCGAAACATAGCAAACCAATGATTACTTTAAGGGCAACCCAAGCCTTACTCTTTGACTTTGATAACTGATTCGACTTTCGACACGTCAAACGTATTTTACGTATTTTTGACATCGAAAGTGAAGTTATTTGTTTAGATAGACATGGTTTTAATTATAATTAATAGATAACAAGAATGGCCTCTTCAAGAGATAAACAATCTGAAGTGTCTCCAGCGACGTCGACTTCTTCAGTAAGATCACACTTTCTTGAAAGATCACCGTCACTATCGTCCACTAAAGAAGATAAATGGCCGGAATTGTTATTGTCCAGACCGGACAAATCTTACTATTATTCTACAAAATGTAAGTAATTGATTTTAATTGAATAACATTAAATCACCAACGTCTCTTATTTTAGTACGGTTTATATAATTTTTGTCATGATTAAAGAAACCTCAAAATAAATGTTTACTGAATATGTTTATTTGTTTGAAATTGTTAGGTGACTTGTTTTTAGAATGGAACGTGCATCTAAGTATTAGTAAATCCTTTTATTTAATACCAGAATTATTTAAGATATACTTCTATATACTTTTCTAATTTATTTCATAACAAATTTGATTGATACTAAGATTTCTTTCCTGAATAAAAACAGAGTATGGCTGGTTTTTCTAGTGCAGAGCTACAAGTTTTAGAAACAAACCAAATTTCACACCTCACAAAAATTAAGTATCAAATGTTTGTGAGGTGTGAAATCCATTGTCAAATATTTTTAATCTATAGTTACAATTCAACTGCGTGCTAATAATAGTGACAGCCCAGGGTGATCCATAACAACCCTTAACTTACTAAAAAAAACAAGTAAGTGACCAGATTGTAGTCTATCTCTGTTCCAAATTACATCTAAATCCATTCAGTAATTTAAGAGTTAATGGTAAAAAACATCCATATGTTCATCCATCTATTTAAACTATTGCATTATAATTAGATGTCCTTAAAAGCTTCTATATATTGTTTATTTACATAAAAATAAAAAGCTCCGGACCCACACCACAAAACACAATCATCCCACATTGAAAAAAATATTATCTCTCTCTTTTTTTTTAAATGTTTATATGAATATTTTGGCATGAAATCACTTGGTATAGAAAGTAAAACAGTGTAAAAAAAGATATGCAGGTAAACCTGAGTAAGCGAGAAACCTGAATTAAAGAGAGTTTTGTCAGATCAACCTGCACATATCTGAGAAGTAATTCAAAGATATGTGTGAAATCAACCAACCCGCACTTGGCCAGCGTGGTTGACTATGGCCTAATCACTCTTAACTTAGGGTAGGCTCCGAGCCCCTCGGTGGGGACGTATTGTGAGCTGATGATGATGATGATTGTCCGATCGAGGTGGCCATAAAAAAAGAGAAACTCTAGTTAGAGAGAAACCTCTGTAAGTGAGAAAAATATTGCCAACCCTTGGACTCTTTCCAGGTTCATCAGTGAATGTTTTGGTTTATGTTCTTACTCTATTGTATCAATCAATTGGTATTTTAATTTTATTTTCTGAGCCAACTATTTTATTATTTTTAATATAAATGAATAATTAAAATGATTATCACTTATGTATTGTGAAAGGATTATTAAATAAAATAATTGAATGTAGTAATTATTATAAATAGAAAAATTGTGCAAATAGAAATAAATAATAGTAACTCCGCAATTGATTTTCCATATTAGGTAGTACTAGGTAAATACATCGATAGAATGCATAGGGCCAAGCATGAATGCTTGCTACACAAGTCTTCGTAATGTCATTAACAAAATATGTCAATATTTGTATGATATTTGTTGGTGTACTTTACATCCTCTATGTGCGCAAATTTTGTCGATCACATTAAGAAAACATTCTCACGAATATTCTCTGTAAACTCAAATGCGCCTTCAAACGCTCGCCTTTGCAAAAACATGTACAGATTATGTCTAATGCAGGATAATTTAACCGTTATTTATGTCATATTTATCACTGGCTACCAAAACCCTATCGAACTAATTCGCGGCAATAAACATCGCCTTCAACTGATTAATAAATCTTTTTTTTATGAAAGTTCATATTACGAGTGCTCTCGCATCGTATGTCGAGCAATAAGGAAGTCGAAAAACGAAACATAAAAGAAACCTAACCTAAAAATAAGCATGAATAATTTCAAATTCAAACTCAACGAAAATTTTCCTTGATTTTCTTTGCCTTAAACTACAATTTTACCATAGCCCAAGTGTACGTTAGATGGCAACACTGGCTAGCAAGTATTGATTTACCCTCGCACAAACGTAGCTTGCGTAGCGAGACGTCGGAAAAATCAATATTCTTACTAAACGTACTGGAAAAACCATTACGGTGACTGTCCTCTGAAAACTTCTGTCGTAACTAAATAACAATTCCATTTTGTCCTTTATTATATCAAATAGAACCTTTAGTAGTGTACAGTTCAGGCGAAAAGTCAGTTTTTGTGGTGTTCTAATGTTATAAAATGTTCATAACAGAGTGATAACGATTGGGTTTATTGCGTGTTCTGTTTTGCTTCATCGTTTATTTGCTAAATTATTATGCGTTCACTCACTGCATCGAACGGGGTAGCTCCCTTGCCCGATTTGGACGTTCCGTCTGAAATAAGGCGCAACAGCGGGGCCGACGTCGAAATGGCCGGTGCCCAAGATACAATCTACTTGTGCAATTTCCGCGTCTCCGTCGACGGAGAGTGGCTTTGCCTGAAGGAGTTACATGACATTGAGATGCAGGATTCCTTCACTCGTCCAAACGAAAATGGTGCGATCACTTCACCGGACGATCCGATGCATTCTTTGATGGGTAATTTAAATGGACTAGTAATGTACCACGGTTGTGCTCGTGGTAGAGTTTTTTATTATTATTAAGATAAGAATGCATGCGGATGTTCATTAATATTTTACGAAACACACGATTTACGTAATAGAAAATTATATTTACCATTTAGTGATAGTTTTTCCATAGTTTTTCTAATGTAGAGGTTTTATTGATAGAAGTAGTTTAGTGGTTTGTGTAATATAAATTTGAAATGCTCATCTACGGACATACATGACCAACTAATGTTTAAATCATAGACTGATTTTATTTTTATTTATAGCTCGTGATCCGGTGGTGATAGAGCGTAGCAATCTCGTCAATATCTCCAAGTTGATTGTGAAGGAATTGATCGAACAATCGCTTCGCTATGGGCGTATGCTCGACAGTGACCATCTTCCCTTGCATCACTTCTTCATCGTCCTCGAGCATGTTATGCGTCATGGACTTAAACCGAAAAAGGTAACGTAAATTTACTCTTTAACTCTTTAAACGCTACCTTGTCATGTGCCATTGTCGTGCTACAAAGTCATAAAAAATGTAATGTTACGATCAAGGTTGACGTCGATTTGTTACAAATATAAATAACATTTTCGTAGTTAAAAGTTCAAATAGATATTTAAGTAATAAAAATTAATATATCAGCTAATTTTATGTTTATATTTTCAGGGGCTTCTTGGACCAAAGAAAGAACTGTGGGATATTCTGCAAATGGTGGAGAAATATTCCCCCGAGGCGGCCGACATTACCGCGAGTGTAAGAGACCTGCCAACTGTTAAGTAAGTACACATTGTTAAATAAAAAATCGAATTTTCTCTCATAACTTATTATTCAAAAAAATATTGATAAATAATCCGACCAAAAATAGTATTTAAAAATAGTCTAGCATCTGCTTGTTAATAAAATTGGAGTGTCTGTAATATTATAATAAAAATATATTGTACGTGCCCATTATGTAAAAGAAATCTGTATGTCTGTCCGCAAGGCGGCGTTTATTCCGGGTAATCTACGGAACGTCTGGACTGATTTTGTCCGTACTTTGACACGATTTGCTGATGCTAGTAGGCATATTATACGATTTTTTTTCTGTGTCAAAAATTAAATAAGAATCTCTTTTAGAACTGCAATGGGACGAGCACGTGCTTGGTTGCGTCTAGCTTTAATGCAGAAGCGTCTGGCTGATTACTTGAGGATTTTATTGGAACGTCGTGAAGAGACGTTGGAGGAATACTTCGAGCCTCATGCATTGATGTTGAACGAGGAAGCTGTTATCATCACCGGTCTGTTAGTCGGACTGAACGTTGTTGACTGTAATTTGTGCGTTAAGGTAGGTTTTTCATAAAAAAATTAATAGTTGTATAATCAACTTTTAAAATAAACCTATACAACATAAATATAAGTACTAAATAAACATGTAAATATGTAATTAGATACTTCTCCAATTAAACTTTTAGCGCTAAATTAATAAAGTTAGAGTCAGAAGAAAGGCGTCAAGTAAAAGTAATTTCGCTTCGATTCTAACGATTGTGCCTGCAGGAGGCCTAATTTCGATCCTCTTTCTCCCGCAACCCTATTCTTGTGAGGAAGGGATGAAAAGGGGACATGGATTTGGTGAAGTAGAATATGCATGGAAAGGGATTACTTAGCAGTTTTGACGTATTTTGCCGGTCCCTGGATGTTTTGGCATCTTATATTAAAAAAATAGCTTGTCTGTTGCAAACGTGTAAAATAATGTTATGCGATATTGTTTTTATATTACGCCATTTGTTAAACATGCCTTTCAACGTACATTTAATATAGATTAACGAATTAATTACTTAGAACTATTAAAAATTAATTAACGTAATTACCATAAGCCATTTAGATTCCAATTAACTTATTATCAATAAACTAGCTGCCGCCCGCGACTTTGTTGCCGCAGAATTTAAATAAATAATAGTAGACTATGTGTTTTTCCCAACATGTTCTACATCTATGCCAAATTTCAGCGAGATCCATGCGACCGTTCTAACAAATATCCATACATCCAATTTGTGTATTTATGTATTGTTAAGATTAATCTATAACAGGAAGAAGATTTGGATAGTCAGCAAGGTGTGATCGATTTCTCGCTATATTTGCGCGGAAGTAACTCGTCCAACGACATAGCCGGCAATGGAAACAACGCGAATACTGAGCCGAAGCAACGTCATATTAACACCATGTTGGACCAGAAAAACTATATCGAAGAACTTAATAGACATCTCAAGTATGTGACAGTTTTAATTTTTTTATTAAAAAATGTCATGATTTCTACATCTTACCCGTGACGTGGACTCCACTGCTGTAAGACGTGAATATTGTTGACAGTGGAAGCCCAACGTATTATTTGTGGCAAAGTGTTTGATTATTATGTTCTAAGATATAATCTAAATACAATCACGACCTTTATCATATAAAGGGTAGATGGATATCGTAATCAATATCTAGTAGATTACAATATGTTTCAATGAAATTTATTTACTGCATTTTGGCAGAAAAAGTAAACATAAATCTTTGATTTCTATCGAAGATGATAGACATGTCATACCCGGATGCTCTTGGAAAGTTATTTTTACTGAAATATCCCACGAGTTGATTTGAAACAATGGTTGCCGTGCGACTCTTTGAAATTGTGTTTCTACTTAACGGGTTGCCTTAGTAACAAGGTTATTGAACTAACAAGAAAAAATAATTAGGTTGGTATGTAAACAAAAAATTGTTTTGTTTAAGTGCCACCGTGGCGAATTTACAAGCCAAAGTAGAATCTCTTACAACCACCAATGCTCTGATGAAGGAAGATCTTGCTATTGCTAAAAATACAATGATTACACTTGTGGAGGAAAACAATCAGCTGAAACATGCATTGGGTAAGTATTATATGTTCATTAAATATTGAGAGTATATCACAGCTTAAACAGTGGTAGAGCCCCCTTTAACATCTTCGCACGAATTGTCCCGGCTCGCCTGGTGAAATATCACGACCACACAGAAGACACGCGTCAAGCGGAAGCAATTCCGAGTACAGTCTGATGAGTGTCCGTCCCGGAGGCCTAATTTAGTCCTCTTTCCCTTCCCACCTATTTACTTATAAGGAAAGGATGGGAAGTGGAAGTGGACTTTCCGGATGAGACAATGCATGGAAAGGGAAAATATTTTCTTTCTGTGCATCCTCTCCTACGTTCACACATATACCTTTCACATTTATTATATTAATAAGAAATACGTTACGATTATTTCTTGAATATTATCAATTCAATTTAAGTTTTTTGTGTCACGAATAAAAAATATATTTAAAAAAATAAACTTTTTAAAAACTGTACACATGTAAACGGTGCCTTATAATTTCCAAGCCCTCGATAGATTTGTTGGTGAAAATCTCACGGCGTATAATAATAGAGACCGTATTAGATAAGACACCTTGCAATACGATGACTCACGGTCTTTTGTATCGCTTATTCGCTTAGTAGACATTTGTATGCCGGTCTGAGCACACATATACAATAAAATATTTTACTGCGTTCACAGTTATGCTATATTGTTATTACTTCGTACAAATGGGTAATTCCACTGTAAAGAGTCAAAATAGAACGCAATTTTGGACTAAAAGTTAGTTATCTATTACAAATGTGCCAGTGTTTATTTACGTCCGAACACGTGTTTATGTTGTTTTTTTTTTGTACAGGTCAAGATATAACCAAAGACAGTAGGATGAAAATAACAGAGGTGCTTTCTGAAGAGGAGGTAAGATTTTTTTATTATTAGCCCCGTTTAAATAGTTTGTTACGTTTTTAATTTCTAATATGTTATAAGCAACTCAGTAATTAATCATTTCAAAATTAAAACACACATAAATATTTCAGTACTGATATAAATTTACAGGACTTGTCAAACTTACATATCGACTTACTTTTATCTATATTAACGATTTAAAAAAAATAATAAGTCCATCAAACGAATATTTTCCGCCATACAATCATTTGACACTATACATTTGACATACTTTGTTATGCAAACAAAGTTGTTATTGTTATTTCCATAAACAAAGCGCATTGTAAATTAAGTCATTTAACGCAATACTATACATATACTTTTGCTAGACTTCGCTTGGGTCATGAATATACTGTATATAACGGACAGACCGATGACCTTTTGAAGATGGCTGGTAATGATTGTAAGAAAACGGAAGTCCATATATGGAAGTGTAGCCAAAGACTTGTGTCCTGTAATCGACTAAATTCCAGCTAATAACGCTGTAAAATATGACTTTGTCTATATTATTTATCGTAAAAATAGTATTTATTACCTTTATAGATTTTTAGATATATGTTAAATCTATGCCTATAATCTGGCTAGAACATTTAAGATAATAAAAGTTGGAAAAAGAAATTAAAGCAACTGTTTTAGTTCTTTTTATATTCATGTTTAGAGACGATTCAATCATAAACCACAAGTTTTATTGCACAATGTTTACATTTTATGCGCATGAGCAATAATAAATCATTCGAAATTCAAAATTGAATAACTCATGAGATATAACTTTATCGATGAGTTATTCAAACTTTCGTGAGACATTATAATAATCTTATATAAAAACGGCTAAACACGAATATTCGTCCGATGGCGGCACCTGTCGAATATACGTGAGTGTTTAGCCATTTTTATATAAGTTTATCGATGAGCTATAACTTCACTGTAAAATCAGTCAAACTGTTGAAATCTTCATGGATTATTGACATCAACCCTGACCAAGTTAAATCTTTTATTTCATTGCAATGTTTCAAAGGCCGCGGTAACTGGACGCATTGAGTCAGAGACTAACTGAGTTTGTAAAATATTACTAGTTTCATCTGAATTTCGATCAAATGGTTTAATACATAAAATTACCGACTTTTAACAATAATTTTTGCTGTATCATAACAGACAGACGGACGGACAATAAAGTGATCCTATAAGGGTTCCGTTTTTTTCCTATGAGATACAGAACCCTAAAAAGGGGCTAATACATTTATTGATCGATTTCTTAATTCATAATATCGAGTACGCAGTGAAAATTATCTAATCCGATGACACAATAATGAGATAAGATGAAAGGAATGTACGAATCTTAATAGGTCACTAGCGAAGTACAATACACACGTGTGAAGATTATGCATCACAAAAGCTGTCCGTAATGTGTATATATTGAAATCAACTTGAATTAAACACTTTTTTCTTTATCACTAACCTCGCAGTTCCATTTGTTGCGTTTCTTTTGTTTATACTCAAACGTCAACAACAATTAAACAAGCAAATATTAAGGAACATCAATCGGATTTAAGGTATTCTATTTATAATTTTATTGCCCCAAATATTACGAATTAAGCAAGAATGGCCTTAATATTTGGGGCAATAAAATTATAAATAAACCTTAAATCCGATTGACGTTCCTTGATATTTGCTTGTTTAATTGTTGTTGACGTTTAAGCTTTGTTTATAGTAAAATAGCTGTCGCCCGCGACTCCGTCCGCGTGGTTATATAAACTTAATATGTAGATAAGTTAAATAAAAAAGCTCTTCAAGGCATAAATTTAAAATAAAAATTAAATAATAGTATCATATGTCCGTCTCCTGGCTCTAAGCTACTTCCTCACTAATTTTCAGCCATATCGGTAAAGCCGTTCTTGAGTTATAGTGTAACTAAAACGACTTTATTTTATTATATATATAGATGTTATTCAATTCCATATAATTATCTGTATATTAACCGATAATGTGGTCGTTTTGCCATATTTATCAAGGATTACACGTACAGTTAATATCGTTTGCATATTTTATTACGTCATCTTATTCTTTATCCTCGATGATTTCATAGAATCAAATGTCTATCGCTTAGTAAACTATTCGCTACTTAGAAACACTAGATAACGTTGTATCTCGAAAATATGGCAGATTAAATAGATAGATAGACCGACTATCACTTCATTCAAAGTATATGGGAACAAAATATTGACGTAAAAAAAAGCAAAAAGTTAATTTCAATGACATTTTTATTTTTCAGGAGAAACATAGCGTAAAGAGCTCTTCATCGGATAAATCTAAGAATGAGAAAGATTCCGAAATGGGAAAGTTGTTGGAGGAAGAAAGGAAGAAGAATACGGAACTACAAAAAGAATTGGATTTGCAGGTAATCTAATTAATATTATAAATGCGAAAGTTTAGATGGATGGATGGGTATTTGTGTGAAGGTATCTTCAAAACGGCTGAACGGATCCGGTTGCAATTTGTCATAGACGTAGAACATAGTCTGGAAGAATACATAAGCTTATTAAGTTTTTTTTTATTTCCACATGGAAGGGGTCGCGGGCGACAGCTAGTAAATAAATAATACTAACAATTTGGTTACAAAATAAATTATTCATCGTTATAAATAGCATATTGACTAATTTATAGAAAACAACGACGGACATTGTGGTTGTTAAAATAACCTTATTAAACTTTTTTTTAGTTTTGTTATATCAAATTATTTTTTTAATTTTAATCTATAGGTAAGTTTAATCAAATTCCATTACTAATGTATTCCAGATATCATTGAAAGCGGAAATGGAAGTGGCAATGAAATTGCTGGAGAAAGACATCCACGACAAACAGGACACCATTATATCTCTGAGGAGGCAACTTGATGATATAAAATTGATTAATTTGGAGATGTACAAGAAGTTGCAGGTGAGAATTTTTATTTTTTGTTACAATTTAAATACATTGATGTAACTGTTTGACAATTGGTTGTCACGGTCCGCTTGTCACGACAGGAAATGCTAGTTGACCTCAATACGACAAGGTGACATTAACAAAGACACCTGAGTATGTACTAATCTGGTCATAGAAATTGCTATAGTTGCGTGGATTTCTTTATCGTTTGCATTTTTTTGTGTTTGCGTCTGTGATATTTTTTTATTTGTACGTTTTAGTATAAAGCATGTGTTTGGTTGCATTGTGAGGTAATGATTTAAAGGCCATTCACTTCGCGTGGGCGAGATTACGACGAGGCAATCTGTTCGTCTTGCGGATTTATTAATTTAGCTTATGCTTAGCTCGTATCATATCGTTTTATACGTTATTTTATATTTGTATGCTTTGAGCTTGATTATTTAGAGATTGCAGCATGATGAGGCATATTTTTAATTTGTCTATGGTCTGAGTTTTTGCTTGTTTTTAATATAAATTGCAAAATTAATGTAATCCAATTTCTAAATTGATATTATAAAAATCTATCGTATATGTCATGCTACAGTTTCTACAAAGAATAAACCATCTATTATATATGTATATACATATATAAATGTACATGTTATATGTTTCATTATCATATTCAGCCATATTAGCATATTAACTAATGTATATATCTATTGTATATCGTACTAATGAAATGCTGTATTCATCAATGCCGCGCTTTACATATGGAAGGAATGTGAAATGGAACTCACGCAGAAAGGTGAAATGGTGTCCAGGCTACAAGGGAAGGCTGAACAAATTGGCAAAATACTACACAACCTTGAAAAATATAACCACTTTCTAGGATCTGACCATGAGTTGGTGAAAGCGTTGCGGTCTCCCTCTAGCGAGACAAATGCTGAGAGAGTTGATATTCGCACAAAGAAAGACGAAGGTCCACCTAGCAAAAAGTTGAACCTACAGGAAATACCACCATTTAGAAAAAATAATAGCGTCGAAAAAAAAGAATCTCGAATAGATTGAAGTTTTAATACTATTAAATTCACTATTCATACTAAAGCCCCAATTTAGGTGGTGTTTCCTATTAGAAAATCACTTCTACGACAATTTATTTTAAGGCTCGTTACACAATAATCTTACAAATTAGTTATACGGTTTGATTAGAATTATATTTACATTAGTATTCAATACCTATGCATCTAATATAACGTCAAAATGGAATTACCACAGACTAACATAGTTTTAGACACGCATATTAATTATATTTATGCTTGCTAACAGACGTAAATTATGATAATGGTTAATTCATTTAGCTAAACTATACTGGCTTTGTTTTAGGAATGTGAAAGTTCCTTGAAACATAAAACAGAGCTAATTGCCAAATTGGAAGCAAAGACTGAGTCAATGGGCAGCACGATACATCAGCTCGATGAGAAGTAGGTTTATTTTTTATTTTATATGACACGCCTCCGCCGGCCTGCAAAGAATCGACTGTCTACTCTTTGTGTTAATTGGATGTGGCCGATTACGAATCAAATAATCGATTTGAAACATTTCATAGTAAAAAAATGGGTAAGGTAAAAAAACATGGTTTTCGGCATTATTTTTCATTCAACCGTCATTATTTTGACACTATCTAGTCTAAATTGCTATGGTTTTATATGGAAGATTTATATTTCGCATTAGTAATTTTAATTGAGAATTAATTAAATTAATATATTAAGCATTTCGTTGTTTGTAAAAATTTTGTTTAATTCCTATAAAAGGATCAAATTAAATTTCGATGTTACAAATCGATAGTCAAATTCGATTATCGATTCGTAATCGGCCGTCACTAGTGATGTGAGATATCGATTATATGTTACCGCTTGACATATCACGTAATCGAGACGCACGTAGCGAAGCGCTGCACGCTTGCAGGGCGCGTCGGGAGGCGACTCTTGTATTGATATTGGCAAACTCTCACGGTAAACCGCTGACTTCGCGGACATTTTGTGATTTAAAAAAAACGTTATATTTTGATAAAGTCATACAAACGTAATAAAACTTCGAAATGGCAATGCTATTCGCTTTAGCTTTCATTGCTATTACGTAATACTTAGGTCTACTGTTAATGTATTCATTTTTTTTTTTACATTTGTTATTTTTTAAAACTAAGATTAAAAAAATCGTGATTGAAACATTATATAGTTATTTTAGTACCTAACGAGTGCAAATATATGTTTATTTTCGATATTTAATGTTTTTTTTTGTATTTCATTACGTTATACAAATTTGTATTGTGATGTTTAAAAAACGTATATTTATAAGTTTATGGGTGATTACCATAATTCTCACTGACTTTAATAGTATTAATTTTGTGATTCCAATTCAGAATAATATTATGTATAACTCATAGCCTTACTATTCGATCTCATTTATTCTAAATATATAATAATTTAAAAAAAATTTTGAATGCCGATTAAAGTCATATTTATAAAAAAAAATGTCGCTTATTTAGAATGAAATGTACCTAAGAAATTTTAGATTTATTAAACATTGTAACACGGAGGCCATAGTGATGTAAAAGCCTTATTTGTAATAAAGTATATTCATTCTATAAATGTATTTTATTCAATACAAAACCGAAACAAGCTTTATTTATTTTATGTTTATTGTGTAGGTTTGCCATTATCAATATATTGAGTTTGCATGCCATACAAAGTAAATCATACAAACCTATATGTAGAATTTAATTTCTAGATATTAAATTATTCCTTAATAATAATTATTCCAAACTGTTTTTGTTACTTATATGATTTTTCAACCTGACCGAATAATATGTTCCATGTAAATTTATTCATCAAATAATTGTTCTGCACTTTAGTTTACAGTTGTGTTTAGTTTTAATTTTTTTAGAATTCCACATCAAAACTATCCTCTTGGATTAATACCTTAAAATACAAACTTACACCCATCCATTATATATAATACAGTAATAAAAGATAATTTTACATCACTCATTCTACATGAGAACATTCTTTTTTATGTAATATATTTATTAATAAAAAGTTATGCTTTCATTTAAAGCAATCTATAATACACTACTATTTTGTACTGTATTATGTCAATAATCAAATAACCTCATGGGAATCGTCCATTGATCAGATGAGGCTCGAAAAGGGGGAGGGGTTCCGAAAAAATCACGAAGAGAGAAGGAGGCCTAAAATAAGATGGCACGAGTTACATTCTAACTGATGACGTAAATTCAGTCAATCAATTAGTAATATTTAAAAAAAAATCACTTTGTCACTAAAAATATACGTGGTTTAGTTATGAGGGTGAAGAGTAATCTAAAACCTCACCACATATTCTCTGAGGGATGGTGAGGGTTAGAAAGGGGCTAAAAAACCTGATTAATGGACGATCCCACTGCTTGAAAGAAAAAACTAAAGAATCTTAAACATATAACAATATGAAATGACGTACCATCTGGTTACCGTATAGGTTACAAGAAGATAAGTTAATAAAGAAGAATCTAGAAGAAAGTGCCAGATCACTAGGACAGAAGGCGGCCGCGGCAGAGACAAGGGCAGTAGCCGCAGAGGGAGACTTGAAGATTGAGAGGGAGTGGAGAATATCGCTGCAGGTATTCTATGACTACAACAAAAAGTAAAAAAAAAAACATGACAAACCACATGATATATCAAAATCCAAGAAATTTAATAAACTGAATTTTTGGTGTAAAATATAAATATTAAAAGAGAAATTTCGCCAGAAATCGCTATCAAAATGTTAGCCATAATAAACTTATATCTTAAGAGAAACAGACAGATTTTATATCCTTAAAAATATGGTTACATTTTATTTGGTGTGTAATTAGTAGACACTTTCAGTCTGATTATCACACAAATTAAGTTGACCTACTCGTTTTAATTAAACCCACGTGTTTCCATACGGTTCATTTAATGAGTGTCAATTAATATCCTTGCTTACGGTCGTGACACCAATGGCAAAATTAAAATAAAAATAACAAATAGCAAAATTTAGTTGTAATAACATATCTGTAAAACAACTCTGTTATTAGTTATCAATTGCCTTTATATTTACTATAGATTAGAGCCCCTGGTTTGACGTGGCATGATGATTCACCAATCATAAACTAATTGAACCGGGACATAATAAAAAGTACAGACGAATTAATAACCTTCCTTTTAAATTCGGCTAAAATATCCTTTATATTACACAAATCAATAGTTTTTTTCAGTATATTGTGATTTCGCAGGATTCTATGATGCGTGATAGAGATAAAATATCAATATTAACACAAGAAGTGGAATCGTTAAAATCTATAGGAAAAGTAAGTATATAATATTAGTTATTCTTTATCTAACACGCCGTGAAAGAAAATGAATTAGGTTAAATATCATATTTTTTTATTTGTATAGAAATATATAGCTTTACAAGAAGAACAGCATACTCTTAAAGCACAGTATATAGAAGCTCAGAAGACTTTGGAAGAAGTGGGTGCAACTTTAAGCGAGAATAAGCTTCAATTAGCAGAGCTTTTAGAGAAAGAAGCTCATGCTTCTACTGAAGAAACACCAAATTGGACAAGTGACAAGGATGCGGTGGCGTGTGCTGCTTGTGCTAAGGAATTTAATATTACAAGGAGAAAGGTAAGAGTTTACATAGACCGGTTATACTAAAATAAATTAATATATAGTTGTTACAGACTTTATTATATTTCCATTGCCTTAAACGCAACATACGAACTTTATTTTTTTAATTTTTAGCTTGTATTTTTTTCTTTTCGTATAATATATATTATTATTAAAATTTTTATGATAATTTATTCGTTTCAGCATCACTGTAGACGGTGTGGCCATATATTCTGCGCGGCATGCAGCGACAAAACTGTCGCATTACCTGGCAACACCAAACCTGTCAGAGTATGTGACACATGTTTCAATGAAGTCAGACTTACGTAGTCTTCAAATAATTCCATTATGGAATACAATTAAGCCCCAGAGGCTCATTTCCCGTATTTAAATGGAAGTGCTAAGCTGTCAAAGTTTTTTTTTGCATCTGTCAACGGTGCGTGGTAAAGGAGTTTGTAACTAAATACGTAGGTTTTGAAGCTGCTAATTGCTTAGCAGAATCATAATGTTGCCACTCTTACTATATCTATTAAAATATGGTTCGCTAGTCGTATGGTATATTCATATATTTTTGTTTTATTTATTGTGATAAAACTATAACCTAAATCTACAACGATTTAACTGCCATTATTATACGTAAAGAAATGTTGCATTTTATCGAACGAAATAAAAATTCTTTTAATACATTTGTAAGGGATCAATTAAAATTTACATATGCATTATTATTATGTATAATGGCGACAAAGGAGGAAGGAAAAAACTTTTGTCTTCTACTTCCCCCTTTACTATTTCTCTCTGTTTATCTCTTATGTTTTCAGTTAAAACTTGTAGTTAGTACAAAAATATTGTTAAAATGTTGTGCGTTAGCAGAAAATTACAAAAATAAAATAAAAAACAATATACCTTGTGTATTCAAAAGTTGTTTTTAAAAATTAAACAAAAAATACTGTAGGATTCCATTCGTTCAAGAGTTAAATAAAATTGGTATTCTTTCTCTCCAGTTCTTAGTCAGTCAGTTTTCAATATTTACCTACATCTTTGGTACTTTTTATATCACAATAGAGACGCAATAGCTCTGAAGTTGCCAGTAAATCTAACGAACGAGACAAACTTATACGATACGGAAGACAGATAAAGGAAATGTCTCTTGTGAGATTTGAAATTTACGCTTTATTTTGTTGTTAAATATAGAGACTTTAGAAATTATGCTCTTTGTAATTGATCCTACATAAATATTTGAATTTTAAATCAAATTATAATTTATAAATAATTTATTTCTTTGTTGTATATTCTATTGACATAATGTTTTTAGTAAATGAATATAAGACTAATTAATGAACGAATTTGTAATTTTTGGATGGTCATTATTTTTTATCTTGACACGGTGCTCCGACGAACAAGCGTGTTTTTATTGTTATATATGTTCATTTATAATCAATTTATTATGTGTAAATAAATGTATAGCAAGGAATTATGGAATATACGATTACCATTGATTTCTGTTTTTTAATAACCAACAAATAATAAAACACAAAACAATATTTTTATTATAATTCTTCAGACATCACGTAGTTTAATATTTGTTCCATTGCAACTGGATTTTCTTCAGGGACCTGAAAAATATTACATTTTTATGATGCTATCAAGTCTTAGTCAAAGTGAAAAAGTAGATTTTTTTATCATATGGTGGCAAACGAGCGAGCGGCCACCTGAAATCGCTGAAATAGCGAAGTGACCGTTGCCCATAGACATACGCAATTGCATAAGCGTTGCCTACCTTTAATCGACGGAGGAGAGGATGCACACAAATAAAATATTTTCCCATCCCATGCATCCTCTCATCCGGAAAGTCCACTTCCACGTCCCATCCTTTCCTTATAAAAAAAAGGATGTAAAGGGAAAGAGGATTAAATTAGGCCTCCGGGACGCACACTCTTCAGACGAAACGCGGAATTGCTTCCACTTAACGGGTGTCGTCGTGGTATTTCACCGGGCGAGCCGGGCCGATTCGTGCGAAGATGTTAAAGCGGGCTCTACCACTGTTAAGATTATAAAAAATACGGCAGTACTTAATCTAATCGATCAAAATGATACATTAATCATATTAAAAAATAATACCCAATGTCCGGATCCAAAAACGGACCAGAAACTAAGTTGATACGCTTTTTTGTAAAATCCATTTCTATAACCATTTATGCGTACTCGTTCTGCATTCCTGAATTGTTCTGCACCGTGCCATCTTAATTTGTGTACCCAATTTGATGCACCTAAATAAAAAAATGTTAAAAATTAGGAGGAAATTTCTGAGAAAATTATGGTGCCAACGTAAAAATAATTTCTGTATAGTATTATTATTTAATATTTAATTTGCAATATATGTTTTTAAAAACTCACCCGCTAGAGGTGTGACAACATCTAAGTTGCCATTGTATACAGCTATCTTCAATGAAGTTTTATTTAGCAGTTTTTCTACTGTAAAAATTAATTTTAGTAACTAATTTCATTTTAAAACGCTTTATCAAATACATATAATATTAATGCTTTATTTACGTATTTTATGTCCGATAATTTTGGAAATGTCAACTAATGTTAAGAGATGTAAGATAAACACATAAATTAAAATTTTAAACTTACAGAATGAAGTTGATGGCACAAAGAATGCGTTATTCAAAGTAAAAAATGCATCATCCGAGATATAGTTCCACTGCAAACTTTGATTTACTAGCGTCAGTGTGGGTTTGACGTATTCATTGACTTTTCTTGCTAATTCATCTAATGCAGGATACGGGCTGGCTTGGTTAACGTTATTAAAATTTATCTCCATACCAGCCTCCATATTTAATATGCGAAACATCAATGTATTCAATTTCTCAGTGTATACATAATCTTTTTTATCTATATAATTCACCATTTTCTTTACTAAGTTCGTAGTTTTTTCGTATGTTGTGATATCGATCACTCCCTAAAATAAGACGATAATTATATTTCATGATAATACACTCAGTTCTGTAATAAAAAAATTACAACTAAAAACGTTTAGTAGTATGATAAGTCTTTATAACACTGATATAATCGTTTAAATATCGAATTATTATAAAAACATTGACTATTGACACACATCCGTGTTCCTGGCATATTAGAAGTTACAGAATTCCTTCAGAATTAGCCACAAAAAACTACAACTCGTTAATAATATCAATAAATAAATATATATCACACCATAGTATAAAGGAAACTTGGTTGCACTAACGTACTCTCCTTTGGATCAACCCAACCGCTACCAATACCGATACCTCTTAAATTCATCTTGAGCCGTTTCTTTTCAATTGCCTGAAATTACAAGCAACTATAAAAAAATCTCAATAAATAATAATACAACATTGCATGCAACAAGCAATGCATGCAAAATAAAACGAGCCTTCAGTACCGTGTGCAAATATACGCCCAATCTCGGACACAGTTTGCCCCCGTAGCTCTGACCGAAGAGATATGTGGGTGTTTTACGAAATTGTTTATGCGTTTTAAAGAACGCCTTTATAACTTTCGTAAGGTCTAACGCTGAGAAAAAAATATTTGAAAAAGTTTAATTTACATAACAATAAAAAGTAACGAACAAAAACAAACAATTGCATACAATGCATTTATCACGCTCGATGAAACCGAATACAGGGAAAAAATATTAAATTAAAAACCATGCATATAACTAAGATTAAGAAATCTTGATTAATCTTTAGATTTTTTATCTTACATCCAAATAAAAACCAGTCGTATGTTCTAACTCGACCATACAAATCTTTAATTGTGCTGCAATAATTGAAGTTATTAAGCCGAATCGTTACCACATTGCAACGTTCCATCTTTGTTACAAGATATGCAGAAGTAATAAGTAAAACTGCATTTAATACATCTCAATAAACAGTTATAGGTTTGTATTTTGTTGGATATACTCGTTCCTATAATTATTTACCTAATTAATAACTCTACAATTTTTCTTATAAGTAACACCGAGGTAATCATCGACCCCCATGGACATCTGCAACACTGTAGAAACTACAGATGCGTTGCCGGCGCGATGTTGATATAGTCGCTAATATAATACAAACTAATAACTATTGACTTACCCATTTGTCTGTCAGTTTTTACTAACAAAGATTTGTTCGTCACGTAACTAAAGCCAGTGCCTACTGGGTGATCAATTAACAGCAAATTCCGTCCTTTCACCTAAAATGAATAACATCCTCAAATCATCGCAAACCATTAAACTTTGACATTAGTCGATTTTTTACGTTTTTGTCAATACGAATTGAAAACAATAAATTATCCAACGCCTCTCTTTGACTTACAATGACTAATAAATTAAGTAATTTTCAGTCTTCATACAATGACGAAATCTACGAAGCAAGACGTGTGACAGTACAATACCCCATTGTTGCTTCTATCTTTTACTTCATACTTGTAAAATTCACGGCGAATCGACGTCAGGTTAAAATATTTAAAACATGAGTTCTTTTAACTTACCCAAGTATGATTACGCGATTGCATATTCATATCAATGGGTCCAATTTCAGCAAAGTTTGCGATCCCACTAGCCGCGAGACCCGGCCCTCCTTGTATCCATATGATGAGTGGCTTTTTGTCAGCTCCAACTGACGTGCCATCGGCGTAATAAAACCAGTAAAATAGAAATGCGCCTGGTCGAACTTCGACGTACTTTTGTACACTCTTCCAACGAAATATTTTTAAAGTATCCAAATAAGGGTTGTGTTCTGTAATATAATAGTATATTAAATCTCAAATGTCTATATCGACTCGATAAAATATACACACTATTCTTGAAAATCATAAAGGCCATTTTGCATGAAAAGGGATTCAAAACCTGGGCCGGGTTGGCTGTATAGAACTGTTTAAATCACTATCGGTTACAGAACTAAGCGAAATTCTTGCTTATGAAGTACACAACTTTTAAGTTCCCTCGTTTCAACCTACCTTCACATTGCAAATGTCCCGCCAAACATAACATCAATAAGCTTAGAAAGGTCACGAACATTTTATTCACAACGAAGCTGCGGTGAACTAGACACCAGTGTGCACAACCGAAACACTCGGATACATTTAACAAAATAAAACTCATCAAAATATTCAATGACATCGCGCGATACCATCGTAACACTAACGAATTAATTACGGAAAATGAACTATAAAAATTGTACGAACATACGGTTCAAACAACAACTAAATGATGTCTGTCACGCGCTCGCTAACCATCGGAGATACGTAGGTGGGATAACCTATTAACTAATCTTTACCACATTGCAATTACGCATAGTTGTCGACATGGTACTGACAGTAGAACGTAATTTGCAATGATAATGATTCAGCAAATGTATTACAATCACAAACGCAAAACTAAACTGGTTATTACATTAATCGATACCAAATGTATTTGTCAATAAAACAATTTTTTAAATCAATGTTTTTATTAAAAGAATAAATCTAGAAATGAGCCGAATACACCATTATTGTTAGCATAATTTATTATTCTATCCCGAGGACGCCTGTTCGAGTTTCCTTGAGTGAGCGTCGAGAATTGTATGTTATTTATATACTTGGAGTTTAGTTTTGATGTTGTTTCTGGCGGTCTGTTGGTGGGCCTGACTTGTGTGACCCCTACCACATGACCGAGTGGAGCCCCTACAACGCCGGGTCGGTAGGCCGCGGTCGTTTCTTGAGCATCTTCATGAACAGGTTTGACGTAATCTGAAGGAAAGTGCATCCCGTTATAACCTTTATTACTTTCGCTGAGGCAAAAGTTGTTATTGTTGCCCTTTAGTCACCGCATTTCACAAGAATTTACTTATTTATAAATACAGCTATACTATTATCAGTTATTAAAAATAAATGTACTTTATCTTGATAAATGCAACAAGTTTGATCACATTTACCAATTCATAGACAACACCTACTAAAACTCCCGTCCCTATGGTATGATAAGCTTTAAGAGAACCCTTCTATTATTAGGCTCTTCTCCTGATTGTAAATGCATTTATAACATTGTATTTTGTGTAAAAAAATTTAATTAATTAGTAATGCTGCACACCTGATGGCCTTATATGTGATGGTGGATGGTAATAATTACCACTGAAGTATCCGCCAGACCCGTACTGCGGTCGTGTTGGTCGACCAGGTCTACCGGGTTGTAAAACTGAAGGATAACCATCGGTCGGTGGTCGCAAAAAAGAAAAGAAGTTCCCTAAAAAGAATCGATTATCGATGCTATGTCTCCTGCCAGATTCCGTTGTTGCTGAAAACAATAAAGTGTTTTTGTAATATGGACCAAAACGGGGTCAACAGTTCACTTACTAGTCACATATAGACATCCGTATTAGTCAATGAGTGCCAGACGCGTTGCGGACAAAATATACAAAAAAAAATCCAATACGCTTTACACTGTGTCACTGGTACAGTTTTTTTAGGTAAAATTAATTTTACATTAATTATTTAATATAACAAAGGCATTAATCAAGTTTCGTACCTGAGCCCACATCATTTTCATCATAATCATCTATTTCTCCACAGTCTTCTGGATCATTTAAAGGTTCTTCTTGTAAACTGGGACGGTTGGATTGTAAATTATCCGGCACTAATAAATCATAGAAAGCTCCAAAAGTTCGTTGAGTGCCATAACTAGACGTTAGCACACGTCTGTGAGGTGCTATTTTATTTGTAGGACATAAAGACGGACTCACGGTAATTCCTTCTGTGGATACCGATAACGTAATAATCTGGAGACGAGTAAAATCATTAATATATGTCAAAAATTCTATTAAAGCACATTTATTTAATACCTACAAATATAATTTTTAGTAGCCGAGAATAAATTTCTCGCGGATGCACCATTTTCACGCGTTAAATTTGAAATAAGAAAAGAAAACTGTGTTGCTTGCTGTTCAACTGCTTTCTGAATGAGAAATCAAAATGTATTGTAACCGATCCTTTGAATCTCCCACGCACATGCACGACGAATTATAAATCCTTGAGCAATGAAAGCCCCTTATATGAAAAGACCGAATATTGTTATGGAATGTAACGAAATTGACCTAAAACATGTAAAAGTTGAAAGGTAATGAACTCAATTTAGGATGTGTTCTGACAGGTTATTAGATCAACCTTTACCGTATTAAAGGTCATCAACAAGTCACAGCACTCATGCCTACAACGCAAAGGGATCAGCAGAGAGTATTTTTGTTTTACATACTAACATTGAGCACTAATTTATATACAACAAGATTGATAAAATTAAAAAAATATATGTATTAATTTTCAACTTGTGTTTTAACACTAAAGACACACTAAAAATCTCCAAGTAGTAGGTAAACAATATAATATACATACCACTAATTATTCTGAGTAACCACATAATTTTTATCTAGCTTACAGTAGTAAGTGTAGATTACTGTAAACTAAGATTAAATTAGACCGGATATCGTATATCCGGTCTATTTTAATCTATAGTTTTGTCGGTACTATGATTCCTCTCTAATATAGGTACCTAGTAAATAAATTAAAATGTATATACATAAGTCACTTTTCAGATCTGTTCGTATTTGCAACTTACGATTAATTATTAATTAATATTTTAATCAGGCGGTTTTTATTTGATTATGACTCGGCAATGTTTGACTTAATATAGTCGGTTGCAAGTTTTTAAGTAAATGTTACTTATAATCACATTTATTACAAGCTTTTACTTAGTTTTATCTGTCCTAATTTGTGGCATCAAATCTTGCAAATTAAATTTCATCCACTCCCCGGTAACCGATTAAGCTAAAATTTGTATACATGTATAAGTCTCGTGACAATGCAATGTCATAATGATATGGTGTTGATCTGATGATGGAGCTGTAAGGTGGTCATAGGAACTCTGTAATAAAACGACGCAACCTCATTTGCATTTGCTCGTTTGATTCGTTCTGCCAAGTTTTTAAATGGTTAATAAATTTTCAGTTCTTTTTTTTCAGATTTTTTTTGTTTTATTCACCATTGTGTTATTGTGTTATTGAAATTTTAAGGATCGTGTATTAAACAATAATTTGAGAACACTAGTTATCTTTCTTTAAGTTAAATTTCTATCAACCCTTTTTTTAAACCGTTTTTTTTTGTTATTTTATGTTGATTACATTTTTGTACAATCTTAATAAGTAACAAAAACGGTTATTCATTGTCTAGCCAAATATCAAACTACATCTCTAACCTAATTTGTATTTTTTATTACGTGATGAAATTATTTAGAATTCATTTGAAATAAACAATGCTCTTATATGTAATCGCTTTCATAACGTTTTACCAAATGTGTTGTAAATCGACATCATTATGAAACTTTAATCCTTATTAGTCTGGGCAAACTAATAAATTAGATAACTTTTTAGCCGTCGAAGGTCAGTGGCAATTTGTTATCCTATTTCATATAAATAAGTATTATGTTTAATGCATGGCCTAAATTAGATTTCCAAAGTAAACATATTGTTCTAATTTTTCCACAAAGTTTAAGCGTTTTATGATAGCAACAAAACCTTTGCTGCAATAGTAAGAACAAATAATTTACTCAGCAAAAAGGAAGTAAGTAATTTTTAGATTATTGTAAAACGATGGCTAACAAAGGTATTAACAGGAATAATTCATATCCTTTAGTATTAATTTCTTTTTAATGTATTTATTGTTTAAAAAATATTTATTTATATAAGCAAGGAAAAATTAATTTAATTTTACGTGTGTTGTAGATTAAAACCTATTTTGTACAAATGTGTCAAAAGAGAAGTGACGTTTGTTTTAGAGTTTAAGAAAAATAAGAACATGTGTCAGAACATGAATAAAGAACCTGGAAATGTGAGGAAATAATAGTTTTATTGCAAAGATCCCTCACATATATAAGTGGCGACCGTGACTTAAAAAATCATGTAAAATTGATTTGGATTAATATAGATAGCACGAAGAATACGAATAAAAATGGACCTTAAAAAATTAACCCGAGAAAGGTGCCAATTCAGACGTATTTTTAACAGACACGCGGCGAAGGAAAAATTTACAGACGCCGATATTGAATTTTTAGAAGCGAAATTCAAAGCTATAATAAGTTTAGATCAAAGAATACAAGAAATTTTATTAGAAGACGTCAACTACGACGAAGAAACAATAACTAACGAATTTAACGACTGTCAAGAAATAGAGAAAAGATGGCTGCAAATAAAATGTAATGGAGCAGGCTCAAGCAAACAGGGATGTACTCAGATACCATTGAACCTACCTAAAATAGAAATGCGAAAATTTGATGATAACCCGAAGTCGTGGATCGCATTCTGGACGCAGTATGAAAAAATTCATTTGGACGAAAAAATCCAAAGCGAAGATAAATTTACTTATTTATTAAATTGCATGGCTCCACATTCGAAGGCAAGAGCATTAGTGGAAAGTTATCCGCCTACAAAGGAGAACTATGAGAAGGTAGTAGACACATTGAAGAAACGCTTCGCCAAGGATGAAATTTTGATTGAAATTTATGTCCGAGAAATTTTAGATGTTGTTCTAACAAAACATAACTTAGATATAATTTACATTTTTGATAAAATTTCTGTTAATTTACAAATTTTAGAATCTTTAGGAATAGGTAGGGAAAAGTACGAATGCATCTTATTACCATTAATAGAGTCATCATTACCAGATGACATTTTATTACAATGGACTAAAATACCAAGCCAGAAAGGGTCGAAACTTAAACAGTTGATGGAATTCTTAGAAAATGAAGTTGAGGCACAGGCCAGATGTAATCTTGCCAAGTCTTCTTTTTGTAACACGTTTCAAAAACAGGTCATTCCGACGACGGCGTGTTTCGTGACGAAGCAGGAACAAAATGATAGAGAAGGTAAGGTGATAGTCTGTTTTTTCTGCGACAAAAGTCATAACACACTAGAGTGCAGCAAAGCAGATAAGCTGTCACTGGAAGAAAAGAAAAATGCATTAAGGAAAAAAGGTGGGTGTTACATATGTTTAAAGAAAGGACATCTCGCCAAGTATTGTATAGCATTTATTAGATGTATGTATTGTAGTAAGAGACATGTTGTTATGTTATGTCCAAAGCTCCACGCACAACCGAAGATCTGTGAGCAGAACACAACAGAAAAACATTGTGAAAACAATAAGGAAGTAAACAATAGTTTCATAAGTAATGACATAACTACCTTGTTACAGACGCTAGTAGTCAAAGTTTCTAATGGTAAACAAGAGAAGAAAATAAGAATACTTCTAGATTCTGGTTCACAGAGGACATATATAAAGAGGGAGCTGGCAGAAGATCTTGGACTTCAGGTAACAGGCAACGAGAACCTCAGCCACTCGTTATTTAGCGGTGTGAAGAAACCAGCAAAAATGCATAAAGTCTTCAAGTTTAGAGTAAGTAGTTTAGATGATAAGTTTCATACTACTATGACAGCATTAGAACAAGATGTGCTTTGCGGAAGTTTACCCAAAGTGCAAGACCCAAAGCTGATAGAAAACTTGAGGAGGCATCAGATCTGGTTAACTGACGCAGCGGAAAGTATCAAAGATATTAGTATATTAATTGGATCGGATCAATTAGGTTGCATTATTAAAGAAAACTTCATTCGGTTAGATGACAATTTAGTAGCAATACCAACAAAACTGGGGTGGACACTACAAGGCCCAGTTCAAGGAAGTAAATTGGAAAGAGTTAGAAGAAGAAACAAGCTCTTACAATATCCAATGGAAGTTTTCAGCTCCAGCAGCTCCCTGGTGGGGAGGGTGGTGGGAGCGAATGATAAGGTTAGTAAAAGACATGCTCAGAAGGATATTGGGCAGAGCATCGGTTAATTGGATTGAGCTATCTACGATATTGTGCGACTGTGAGGCAGTCATAAACAGTAGACCGCTTACTTATGTGGAAATGGGAGACGTTAGACCGTTAACGCCAATGATGTTCCTGCATGGATTACCGTCTAACGATACACCGGACTTAGATCAACTTGATCATAATAATTTGAACATTAGATACAAGTATCTACAACAATTAAGAGAAGATTTTAGAAAGAGATTTAAGACTGAGTATTTATCACTATTGATTAGTAAAGGAAAAGAGAATAAGAGAGAGCCTAAAGTAGGGGATATAGTGATTATACAAGCTGAATCATCACACAGGCTACATTGGCCTATTGGAATAATAAAAGAAACCTTTACAGGGAGAGATGGGTGTACAAGAACAGCTAGAGTTAAAACAGCTTCAGGAGAAAAGGTGAGACCGTATCAAAGATTATTTCCTCTTGAAGTCTCAGCAGTCTCTCAAGAATGGCTCAACAATGTACCCATACATAAAGGGCCTTCAGACACAGGTAATGTGACGAGTGATGCTAGTATTAACGATAACCCTCCCTCAGGTATTACAACGAGGTCAGGACGCACAATAATGCCTCCAATTAGGTTTTAGTTTAGATTAACAGATGTTGTTGAAGTTCTGACCCTTGCTGTTGTTTTGGTCGCTTTTATATACTATGTTGATTTGAAAGTTGTTGATTTTTTTTGTGTGATAATTTTATTGTTTTAAAACCTTGTATGCCTCCCCCGGGAGTGTGTTGTAGATTAAAACCTATTTTGTACAAATGTGTCAAAAGAGAAGTGACGTTTGTTTTAGAGTTTAAGAAAAATAAGAACATGTGTCAGAACATGAATAAAGAACCTGGAAATGTGAGGAAATAATAGTTTTATTGCAAAGATCCCTCACAACGTAAATTCATTTAGTTGTTTTTTTTTGTACTTTATTTACACTATACTATTTAAACTAGAATAGTTACTTGAGATAAATTGTCATAAAGTTGAGAAGTTGATTTGGAAGTATTATAAAACTATTTTAATGACAAAGAACGAAGCATGCAACATTTGTAAATGTCACTGTCAGTCGCTGTCATTAAAACATCAATATTGAAGATTGATGAAATAAAAAAGGTATTAGTTAAAAAGAAAAACGTGGGAAATACTACTTGTTAATTAAAAAGACGTCGCAAATCTAAAAGTTTTGCGTCGTGAACGTGAATTCAGTATGGCTAAACGACAAGGCAAAGTATATTTAGGTTATGAAGAAGAAATCATTGGAGAGAAGAACCAAGCTCTTCTGAATTACAAAGTGAACAAAATTGGTGGTTTCCCCGTGAGTAACATTAAATTTAAATAATAAATATAATCTCCTCATAGATAGCCTAATAGAGTAAATAAAAATCGTGAAGTATAAAGGGCTCAACGAATTTGTATTTTATTTATTTTAGAACTGGCCACCACTAGATAATTTAAACTATTCTTCGAAATGTCCATTATGTGGATTGCACCGAATGCTGATTGTCCAATGCTATGCCCCGCTGGAAAACTCTGCTTACCACAGAACATTGTATGTGTTTGCCTGTATTAGTCCAAATTGCTGGAATCTATCAGAAGGGTTAGTTGTCATAGTTATTTATTTTTAATTTTCTCCTTAATTTATTTTTACAAAATTTAGTCAAACAATAAGTATTAAAAATATATATGAAGGCTAATTTGTCATTTGACAGAATTTTTTATGTTGTTTAAATCAGTCATTTTCGTGTTATAATTCTAATCTTAATATAGATAAATGAATATTCATAGTCTGTGTAGTATCTTTATACTTACCAATAAAAATAAGAGATATGTATAAAAGATTCATGCTAACCATCTCTATGAAATAATATTTTATAGTTGGGAATGTGTCCGAAGCCAAATCCAAGAATCAATGGTAACAAAGAAGGATAGCATTACTGTAACAGAAAGTGCTGCTAACCTTGCCTGGTGCAATGCAGCTGATGAATGGGATGAGAACGACAATGGTGACTCTACTAATGGAAATGTTATGAATGTTGACAATGAACCAGCTAACAATGGCATGAGGTGAGCTTGAATATTTGTAACATAATTGAAAAATTTTGTTGTTATGTTGTATGTGACTTTAGAGCTGGTAGGGCAAGTAGTGCTACAAATTTTGTGTCTGATGGTAAGAAAACTCACTAGTATTTGGTATAAGCCCTCGGTTTCCTTATCTTTAGTTTGCTTCCTCTTCAAAAAATGTATAAAGTTTAAGACTGAGAATTTTAAATTGCTTAACTATATGGTTACAGGAACTCTGATGATGATGAGAGCAATTCCTATGAGTTGGAGACTGTTGAACAAGCATTGGGAAACCTCCAAATGTTTGATGCTCATAATGCCAACATGTCCCCTCAAGGTATGTATAA